GTGCCCGTCCTCACACAGGCCCAGGAACAGCGTGATGCTGCTGTCCCACACATGGGAACAGTGCCTCAAGCTCCTACCAGCAGGGTCCAACACCATCACCAGCCTAAGGCAGTGGAGGAGTCTCCCAGTCAGCCAGGAGACCCATGACTTGACTCAATATACGTACGAAATTTCCCAATGTTTCCTTTGATCACAGCTAGCAAGAACTCCCTGGTGCACCCAGTCTGAGAAAATACTRCCCAGAAAAAATACCTGTCTTGTTTCAGCCAGGAGGACACTACAGATTTACACACCATTCAATTAACAGTTCCCTTATAGACTTTTATCCTGTGGCTTTTCTGCACCTAGGATCTCATTTCTATATTCTCTTGTCCTATTCTCAGCATTTCCATATGTTTCAAATAAAACTCCTGTGTAGTAATTACCATAAGACAAGGATATTTGAAGCACTTACTTCAACTAGAAAAGTGAGTGCAAAACAGGCATGGAGTCCCCTCTTGGTCTCAGCTTCCCTTGACATTGAAGGGGATCACATTTACCTGTGATGGTTATCAAGGTTCTTTTGCTGCACTGAGGAGTCTTGTATTAAAACACTCCATACTTCTGTGCTTCAGTGAAGTCTATAAACTCTGCTGCCTGGGGTTGTTCAAAAGACAGAATAGCAAACACGCAGCATATTGAGGCTTTTAGCAAGAGTCAAGGAACAAACAGCATCACGCTTAGAAATTCAGTTGAAATGCTATAAATCCAAAACAGATACACCGATCAACCTGAACTTTGTCACTTTGCTAACTGAATTACAGCATGTTTAGATACTAAGCTGGTTTGTCAAGCAGAAAATAAAGACTCTTCTGATATTGCTGAGACCTGGGCATAAGAAGCCTTTTCTCAGGAAATGATAGCAGAAATGCAATAGATTCTCAAAAATATAGCACTCTTTCATTCAAATAGACATTGATATTTTAAAGAGACTTGAAGTTTTAATCAAAGTTCCTCCYTGTGTTCGTCAAAAGTGGGAAAAGGAACAACTGCTTGTCAGTTGTTGGCTCGTGCTGAGCCAACTGTTTGATTAAATCTGCATTGCTAATAGGGAAGTAGCCATATGCCTCCCTCACCTGTAGAATATAGCTCTGGATTGTGAAAGGTTATTAGCAACTATTAAATTCTGTCAAGAAAGGATTTTTAAGAGAAGCAATGAGATGCTCCCTGGCAATGCAAAGCAACATAGGGACTACAGCTGAGGGGCTCCAGCCAGTCCAGCTGCACTCTTGCCCCTGCTCTGTGCATGTCCTCTCCGMTCACAAATGTGTCCTGCTATGCAAATGGAAACAGCAGGAGAAATATGCACCTTTCCGGGCAAAAATCTTTCAGCTTTAACAGTGAAACATCTAGCAGGGCAGCAGGAAGTCTCACTTAATATATATACACACACAGTGCATGCAAGATTTAAATCCTATAGAATGGTTTGTAAAGATAATGCTATTCCTTTTCTTAGGCTTCAGTTGAATTTTAAACAGTCTAGGTAAAAATTAGAATGTGTTTCTCCTATTGCTCAATTAAGAATTTTGTCTTCACTAGAGACTAGAAAAAGTATTTGTTTTCTGCTTTAGGTTATATTCCAAAAGTTAAACAGGCACCCCACTTCCCTTAAGACTTTGTAGAGGGATTTTGTCCTGATTGAAGCATTAAAAGTAATGTCACACAGACAGTCCCTTTAGGCTCTGCAGAGCGCAGCAACTCCTTGTCTCCTCCAGGTATTTCAATCAGCATTACCTGTAATTAACGTGGCGCTTCCTCGCCACAGGCTTTTTCTCAGGAAATTTTCAGCAGTGCTAAATAGGGGGTTGCCCAGACTGCTCTGAAAACCAGGCTCCAGCTCCAGGCAGATCTGGCCAGGTCCTCTTCCTGGCACATGGTGAAACAAACACTATGCTAAGAAAATTCAGCCTCTACTTGACATTCCAGGCTGGAGATCCTGCTCTGCAGAGCCACACCACCTTCCTCAATACTTGCTCCCATTGCTGTGATATCCTTGCTCAAAAACAGTCATTTGCTCTTCCCACTTAGAAGCTGGTGTCTGGCAAGAGGGCAAAGCCTCCCAGGAAACCCAGCCGAGCTAACACTGAGCAGGACATGCACGGGCACCAGAGGAATCACTTTGGTCTGGAAATGTAAAAATTCAGCCAGGAAATCCATAAAAGCTGAGAGCTGTGCAATCAAACAAGTCCTAGAGAAGCATTACTTCTGTGGGTTACTAAGACCCCATCAACACAGCATCACTATTTGAGAATTTCAATTTTCRCAGTGCCCTGAATTTCCAGAATTTTAAAGGGCCCTTTACAGCCAGCCCACTGACATTCTTCACAGCAAAGCCTGAGAAACTGGAAGAGAAAAACCATATGCTACCGAGTATTTGTTCCAAAGAACATACGTTTCCATCACTCCGGATGGAAACAACCAACAGAGTTGGTAGCTGTGGCTTTAGACAGAGGGACAGATAAGCCTGAAAATGCTTCCCCCAGAGCACACCAAGAGCCTCAGGCCAGCAAGAAAACACAGAGGCTTCACTTGAGCTACAAATGCAGCTTCTCAACTCGCCAGCAACYTGGCTTTGCCCTCACACCCACTCCACTGACTGGCAGCACCTGCTGCACCCATTTCCAAAACTCTGGGGTCAGGCCCATTCCAGCTGATCTCAAAAATTCTTAAGAACACATCTACAGCAAGACTGTTTCTTCCTGTTGCAATATGCAAAATCACAATTTAACTTAAATAAACGACTTTTTTTTGAGAGAGATAAGAACACTATCATTGCAGTCAATCTGTCAAAAAGTTGTTGGGGTTAAGTAGCAATTACCTTTACTGCACAGTCATTTAGATTTTGATAGGACTTGCTATCAACTTTTTCCCAGAAATGTCTGTGGTTTTAATTGCCAATTTATCAAATACTCCTCAGAAAGTTTTATTTCAATTAATGTCCCCAATTATGAGGTGATCTTCTTAAGAAAAACTGACAAAACATTTTGTTCAGTAACTCCAAAGCAAAAACATCTGGGATAACAGATAAGATGAAGGGAGGGAGCAACCTCATTGAAATGACTTAAAGAATTAAGGCACAAAATGCGCTTTCTTTCTGTAGACTTTCTCTGGGCTTCCCCAGCATTTTTCATTCCCAGAGAGTAAAAGAAATCCACAATATTCTGAGTATAGTAAAAGTCCTTGGGTGGAAGAGCATGTTACTAATGTAAACCTACAGGATTAACACTGGAATAACATTTCAAGGTAACAAAATATGTGCAAGAACTTTAAAATAATTCCCTATAGAATAAGAGCTTCCTCTCAAGCTCTGCCTTGACATTGCACATCCGTGGATAGCTCGTTAAAAACACCTATGGCACCAAACAACATGAGCTCAGGGCAGAAGCACAAAGCTCAAGCGAGCTAAAGATGCTGAGATGTTATGTAAGGTGACCAAAAAKCAGCTAGGGAGCAAGCAAGGCTTGTCCCAAGGGTCAGTTAGACCTGGTAGGACAGGCAACAGGCTACATTGTCCCATGGGCCCGGAAGGAGGCTGCACAGAGGCAGTTTCTGCTTTTTCTGCACTTTTCCTAATGGTCCTAAAGAGACACAACAGAGTCYGTTTATTACCAAGCAAAAGCCATGCCTGACATGATGGTGCTGGCAGTCTAGCTCTGCCTTAAGCCTAAAGAAGCTGATGGACTCCTATCAAACTCTTTAAACAGATCCCAGCACATGTTTGGTTTGGCTTAACTACACACACATCCCACCAGGAAAACAAGGCAACCCCATCTCAGGCATATTGTACAATGAGCTCAAGGGCATGGGACGCTTTAACACATAGATCTGTTCCTGATTTAGAGCAGAGGACCTTGGTTTCTTGTCTATAAATTAAATTTAAACGGAGCAGTCAAAGTTTCTTAAAAGAGCACATCAATAAATTAGCATCAWTTTTTGCTGCCTTGTCAAGGATTAGCAGTTTTAATCCATTTTGAGCATGAATTGGGAAATAGAAAATAGTGCTCAGATATTAATAACAAGTAGTTCAGTGCATGCCCTTAATTTGCTTAAATCTAAAGAACTGATAGCAGTTTTTATGCAAGGTGGAAAAGGAACTGTGTAGATAAAACAAAAGTGTCCTGGTAGCATTATAAACCTAGAGCATTCAGGATAATACCATTTTCCTATGGGTTTCTACATCAGACATTCACTCTGACCTATTACTAGCTGAGGTGTAAATCAAGGATAATTCCCTTTCAGTCATTTCCAGGAGCAAGATTAACTGCTGTGGACAAAAACGTACAACTGGGCTTCAGTGGTGGACTGTGTGTTTGACCTCTTGCTTTAAGCCAAAGCCCCCTACTTGCTAGGTTATCCCCCCTCGCTGAATTTACTGTGATAAAACAGGCTTCTCATTTCAACTATAAGGACCCTCCTTTTATAATTACTTAGTTATACAAGTTACAAAGCACAACTGTCCAAWGAGACTACACATATGGTCTCTCTTTACTACACATCATGAAAAGAGCTCTGTGTGTTAAAATAGAGGGGGTATTTTAAGTGGACATCATCATACAATGTGAAAATAATTGTCCACATCCAGGCAMAGAATCTTGTTTGGCAGCAGGATGCATTTATACCTGGATTATCATCACAAATGTGTTACTCATGTATTGTTAATGCTGCTAACACAGAATGAGCCTGTATAAACTATGTTAAATAAAGCACATTAAGAGAGTAAACTACTACATGTAAAGCAACTTAAGGCAGGAAAGGTGGTCCAGGCTCAACAGATTAGCCTTGGATATTGAGGGCCTCAAATGCCAAGGCTCACACCTCTACTGTAGAAGTCCTTTATACTCTGAAGCTCTTCTTCAGAGACTGTATATCCTTGCACCCAAGAACTTCCAGCCAGGGTGTCATGCTTTCAAAATCCCCCAGAACTGGGGATAAAGGAGGTCAGATATGCTGAAGGGCTTCTAAATCGATTGTCACTGCTTCAGAGAGAAAGCTATTGTACCTCACATAGTTTGGAATACGCTGCAAGGCCTGCTCCTTGCTTAGCACAGCCTGCCTGTCATAGATTTAATGGGTGTTAATGGGCTGATACCTTCAAAGCTTTCCAGTCAGCACAGGTATTTCGCCCTTTGATAAACCACTTTGATCATTTAAGCTACTAATTATCTTTAATTCACAAATGTCCTATTGTTTGCAACGTGCTGCACCACGTARTGTGCTATTGTTGATTACTTCCCTTGAATCTCTGCAAAACAACTAGCAAAAATTTGGTCTAGGCATATAAAAAGGAAATAAAATTAATGGGCTGCAAGTTAGGACTCTCTYCCCAGATAACAGTAGGACAAGCTGTGCAAAGAAGTTGAGACAATATTAGCAATCTCCTTCCTCATCACACACCTTTCAATATTATCTCAGTAGGGTGCTGATATTTTATGAGGAAGACAGAGATATTTTGCTATATTCATGCAGAAGTTCCATTCAAAGCACAGCAGAAAAGGCTGGTCATACCAGGTTTACTAGAGTCACCATGAAAAGACACAGACAGCAACTCCTGGYCCAAGTGCCATGACTATGGAGCTGGAAAGCATACAGAAGTGCGTAGTCTCATGCCTTAGTGCTGAAAGCATCATCTATCACAGTATGATGAAGTCACCTGTCATTAGACATGCAGGCAGGTTCCCATGACCATGACCTCCTTCATCAAAAACTAGACAGGTGACCACCTCCAAAGATCCATCAACAGCACTGGATGTTGGCCAGGAGATGAACCTGCTGTACTGTCAGAGCCAAGTTCCTTCCATGGGATGTGCAGGACAACTGGTTGGTGTCCTGAAACAGTTAAGAGCAAGCTTTTAAGAGAAAGGACAAAAAGCTCTTGCCTAGTCAGATCAGGTTCCAAAGCTTTCACCTGATAACAAATTACTCAAGTGAAACCTTTCTGATAATTTAAGCATTTCTTCTGCTAAAACTAAAGCTGCTTAGAAGAGCTTCACATCAACCTCTCTAAAACTGTTTTCCCAGGGTAAGTTAAAATTAGACTAAGACAAAGGCAATCACAAAACCCAGACAGAAATGTGGAAAAAAGTTAAAGATGGCATCTTTCCCCCAATTTAACCTTATTTTAGAAAAGGTTGTAACAGAGTGGAAGCACATAATTTAAAATAGAGATACAGGATTTATTCCCTCCTAATTATAAAAGAKCCATAAAGACTCCATTTAAACCAAATGCTTCTTGACAGTAGAACCGTTGGTAGGATCTACTTCATTCTTTGCAACAGGCCAGATCAGCTTTCTGTATTTCAAAGCTGTTGACGCTATCGCAGAAGCAATCGCGTTCCTGTCTGCTGAGGAAAGATTGACGGGTATCTGTGTTGACAGATATGCTGATGCCTCTTACCTTAGGTTTCCAAGGTTATGGTTTGACAGTCAATTAAGAAGTTCTCGCTTCCCTGACAAACTGTTGTTTTCTTACCGATTTTTTTTTTACATTCTCCCATTTTGTAAAACGCCTTGGCRCTCTCTCCTACATCACAGGGATTTTATTAGCACCTTGTTTAGCAGCCTTCTCTCTTCTGTAGCGTGGGAGGGGACTTTGCCAAACTGATGGACTAAATGAAATTCTGAGAAACTCTTTCAGAAGGGAGAGACAGCACATGGAAAGCACACTGGACACACACGGAAAGCACACTGGACAAAACCTCATCCCCTCTCATTAGGCTTTTGCAGGTGTCCTCTCCTCCAGGCAGTTCCAAGGAGACCACAGAGGCTCTGGGACACCCATGAGAAGCTACCTGCTTGGGCTCCCACAGCAGGCACTTAAGGCCAACCACAGGCCCTTAAGGCCAACCACAGGCCCAGGGTGTCACCCTGCACATCTCCATGGTGGGCAACAGCAGCACAAGCTTCAGTCACTCACATAATTGCAGAAAAGCTCCACGTCTTCCCATTGCCTGCTCTCCTCTGGCCAGAAACAGGCAGGCAGGGTCTGCACCATAGCCCGAGACAGAGTACAAACCTGCTCCCTGTCCTGCTGGCACTGCTACCCGAGACAGCAATCCTGGACAGCACTGGAAATGGAGCTACATGTCACCAGCTTCATTCTTCTACCTGTAGATGGCATGGATATACCTTTTTATTTCAAGCTACTCACTGTATTAGTTCACTTTAAAAATAAGTAACATTCTATAGATCATGACTTTTAAATATGAAGAACAAGGTAGCAGGTGACATTAAATGATGCAAGACAACTATATCGTGTTTCTACTTGAAACAAAGCTTTTAAAGGCCTTGAGAGTACTAGTTAATTTATAAATACCTGTAGGGACTAACATGCTTTGATTTGCAATAGTCTTGAGGCARTAAAGATCTCAGGGCAGTTGGGCTGGCCATACAGTAGGAGGAAAATTGACCTCCAAAGAAAGAATCAGTAGAAAAATGTAAATATGGTATTCAGCTTCTTAAGACTTCTTAGAGCTTAGACTTAGGTTTCTAAGACTTCTCTTGGGGAGCAGCGCCACTGAGGCAAGGCAGCTGTTAGGAGAGACAGGCCTACACGGCCAAGTTGCAACGATACCTGCAGGTCTTGGGGCTGGTTCTACAAGCACATTTAATTACCTAAAGGTTCAGAACAGTAGTTAGAATGAGAGGCAAAGACAAAAGCACTAGTGAGCACAATTAAGAGCAATTAAAGTACCTTAGCACTTAGCTGCAGCTCTCAGTCAGCATTCCTCCACATTTTAATCACCTAAATACCTTTGTAAACAGGACCAATAGTATCTTAATTTAGCTACTTTCAAAAAAGTTCCTCCTAACCCMTAAAACGCTCCCTTATAATCGTGCATTTAAATAATAATAAATGAAGAATTTGCTCTACTCCCAAAATAAATGTTATTACAAAACTACTGTACTGTTTTTAATAGTGGGAATCTTTCAGATGCAACTCTGCAGGTAGCTGGAGGTTAGCCATAAAATCTCGCTTATTGCAATGCCTCTCCTCTACAGAAAAAACAGTAATGAAATAAAGCACTCCATTAAGCTGCAGTGTTCAGGAGGCATTTCTGCAAAGTCTTCTCACAGCATACCGCTAGCATCTACTTGGAATGCATCAAGCTGAGCATGTAGGCAGACTGTGGAGAAGCACACTCAAAATAATTCTTATGTAGCACTACCTAGGACACTGCCAAAAAGACAACAGAACTCCTGAACATCTCTCAATAGTTGTCACAGCCACCTCAGTAAAACGCCAAAATTTTCCACTATCCTTAGAGCACCAGCAGCTTTGGATCTCCTACTTACACAAGCAAACTCACCTCCAAGCAAAAGCTGTTGACCAAGAGCATATCCGTATCTTACCCCTCCCTTTCCTGAGGGCACACAGAATATATCATAAATCACACGCCCTTTTGGAAACGGAAAAGTTCCTCTGGGCAGACTTCATGCTATGAACATGCCAAAAGTCTGAAGAATTAAATTGGAGAAGAATAAGTATGAAGTCATGCATACATTAGTGTTCAAGGGTTCACAGCAGGAGAACCATTCCATTTTTTGATTGCTTTTATAGTTGAGGAAAGGGGCAAGATTAAAATATCATCCTATATCTTTAAGAGATTTGCTTATTCTGAGTTTTGGAAAACATATCCACACTCTGCAATCGATTTGAAAAACACTAGTCTCCCATTTTAGCTGATAGAGAACATAGCCCTTCAGCATTCATAACAATTCCGATTTACTCTGGAGCATGAACCTCAATGAAGTGCATTTATCCTTTAGGAAAAATGAAATGAGGCAGCTGGAAATGCAATTAGCATTCTCCTAATGCACAAGAACTTACATAGGCAATTTCCCTGGTTGTGCAGAGATGCTACATACATTATCCATGCATCAGAAATTGGACAGTTAAAGTTTTAACTCAAGTATTCAGTCACATAGTGTCACCTTCCTGCAACATTTCTATTTYAGAGTACTGCAGCACGTGCTCCTCAGATTGTAATTTGGGCCAAGAGCTGTCTGGTCAATGGAGCTAAAATTGGGCAAGTTCCTCGATGCAGCAGAGAGGCAGGTTGGTGGCACATCTCAGCTTGGGCAGCACATGCTTGGAAGTACGTTGCCCTCTTACAGACCTGCTTCCATCCAACTTGGGGCTGCTCAGTCAAACTATGTTTAAGCTCTACTCATGGCATTGCAGAGTAACACTGGTAGTAGTCAGCTGGTTCCCTTCAGTCTTGTTAACTAAATCCAGATGAAGTCTAGGTAAAGTCAAACTGATGCTATCTTAAAATTTACTATACTCAGGGGCTCCATAAACACTTCCAGTTTATGCGGTGCAAATTATTAAATGAATATATAGAGATAAGCCTCTCCAAGATATGCCAAGCATTGAAAAGAAGAATTAAATTTGAGCTTAGTTTGGTGTTTTTCAACCTTAATACTGAAACAATACTGGATATTTTACATTTATATATATCTCATACTTACTATCCAATTCTGTCCCTCCTTAAGATAGAATTGCCCTGCATTCCTTTAGCTGAGAACTAGTTTATGGCTTTATTTTTCATGCCAGTTGATTAGTGTTTCCACATATCATCCCCAGAAAAAATAATCTACCTGAAAAGGCCTTATTTTTGAGAGTAAGAAACTGAAGATGATGAAACAAGTCCTTGCTTTGTGAAGTAAGTGTGCTTTTCCAGAGGACACAAAGCAATTCAACTGGAAATACCCAGTGAGAAGATCTGCTGACTCTCCTGGTCAACTGAAGCCAAAGCACTCCAGGTATCTTCAGTGGGAATATTCCTCATTGCTTTGGGGTTTTGCAGCTTTTCCCATTGGCCTCAGTTCACCACTGCCAGATTTCTTGCCTTTCTTAGAGCACACCAGTAAGGGCTRTTATCAGGAAACCAACAATCAGCATTAATTCTTCTGAAGGTTGAGTGCAAGGTGCAGAGGCCTCTCACTTTACTTACGCTAAGCATTCACTTTGATACCCGATCTACTGTAGCTGGAAGCAACATTTCTTCTAGCCCTCCAGCCCCATCCTGAAGCTTGTATTCTGAACGTATTTGGTCAAGTTGTCCTACCGCTCTCCTAGCAGGACTGCAAAAGTTATTCTTTTATTAATGACACTATTTTTAGTAAGGTACACAGGGTCCTTTGGGTTCAGCCTTTCTCAAACACTGCACATTCCCTACCCTCACTGATGCTATATTGAAACAACACGAGCACTAAGGGCACAGAAGGTCTTGGCAGCTTGGGGGGAATCCAGCTATAATTGCTTTGTTTCCTAGGCACACCCAGTTTCCACGCTTTGTGACTTTTATAGCTATAAATGCAAAGCTAGACYGGGTTTTTTGAAAGCTTGAGCAGCATGGCAGAAGCAGCTCCTTATCAGAGGACTACAGGGTGGAGGTAGTTTGCTCCTGGTACCTATTTCACTCTGCCAATGGCACTTTACTCCACAYGCATGACCCTCATTACAGACAAGTCTTAATTTTGGCTAAGGCACCAGCATAAGTTTTGAGCAACCAATTAGCATTGAGTTTTCTCAGTCATAAACTAAGCTGAGATCTTCCCCACCATTAATGGTCTGCAAATCTCCCAAATCCAGCTACTGGCTGCTGGGAAGCAACAATATTAATCTTCAGGAAGACTTCAACTGAAAGTGTCAAACTTGGAAGGCTGGAATGTAAGCATCCTTAGGAAGCTGTCACAGGGAAGGCCCCAAAAAGGAGATGTTCAAGTGTACTTCAAAAAAAGCTACCTAAATAAAGCTGATTATTGGCATTGAGGATTGATCACTGAACCGAATCAAGAGTGATGGTATCTGTGCGTTTCATAAACTGCAGAGGATTTCTCTTGTGCAAGAGTTCATAGAATAAGGGTCTATTAGCAGAGCTCCTTGCTCTGACTCGTTATTTCTCAGTTTCACAGCAGAAAAGTTTGGCCAAGAAAAGGCAACCTCAGGCATTGGCTATTACTCCATTTCCCTTCACATTCATTAAYAGCCATTAACACCAACTAACGATTAAACTTGTAACACTTGGGATGTTCCAGAGGACTGGAATGAAATACCTCATTCCAGAATACCTCAGATTAAACAGGCGTCCAAGAAATCAGAGTCTCATATGAATCCCAAGCAAAAATCAGAAGGGCTAATATGGGCAAACATGAAATAACTAAGAGATACCATTAGTCAATAATGCTGTTAGTCAACAATTAGTCAATAAATGTCAATCCAAGATCATCTTTGTTGGGAGATTATTGGTTCTGACCAACAAAAACCACGAAGATAACTACATTGCTACTACAGACTTCAGTAAGGTGCRAGCGACTTTGCAATTCCTGGTGTTACAAAGACATTACAACCAAAAGTCAACACTAGAGAAAAACTGATATAGATCAAAACTGATTAAAAGCCAATGACTGATAAATCACAGGAAGTAATCATAATATAATCCATCAGAAGTCTTCTCATACTGCAACTGAAGTTCAGATAAATACTCTTAAGATCCACAGAGATGGCTCCCACCAGCCAGCAGACACCTACTAGCCAGCTTATACTTTGTGAGCCTTAGGTGAAGACTGTCAATGGTGTCTTATAACATGGTCATAATCTGTCATTTTAACCCCTTCCTGTGTTCCCATAGCCAAACTCCACCCAAATCCAGCAAATCCACACAGTGCCTCACCTGGATCGCTGGCACACAAGCATTGACTTTTCTTCTGTTTTGGAAAAATAGGATCTTGCCCCACATGCTTCTGCAGCACTACATACAGACCACAGCACCAACCATACCATGACACCCACCATACCAGCTCCTCCTCCCTAATTATTTTTTCTCCTCCTGTCCTAAATTCATTTCATAGGCAAGTTTTAGGGGGTGAGGGCTTCCTCTTAGCTCACAGCAAGTTATCAGACCATGACCACAAAGGCTGAGTGCTACCCACATGCCTACTCCAGAGCATCATTTTCAGATTACATACTATGAAAAAACTGAGCAGTAATTTCCCACCCATATCCAGATGGTTCGAATACAGCTTTCACAGTAATTTCTTGACCCACTAATAACGTAATTGTTACTTACACGAACATCAACATAGCAGGAGAAATGAGCCTGTCCTAGCTGTCAATACTGCTGCTCATCTCCAGTGCTGCCAGAGCTGCATTACAAGCCACCCTTCCAGCTCTCAGTAAATATCTTTTTAAAAGGTTCATTCCTCTAGTGTAAGTCAGGAGARAAGATTTGTCTAGCGCCAGCGTACACGTTCCCTGCAGCATCAAGAGCAGTGCTGCTTGACTAATTCACCCCACGTGAAGCAACTGGATCTCTTCCTCCCTACAGAGCTAACRGGGACGCGTGCATACAAACTACTGAGCAAAGTGCATCTCCACGGGGCTTTTTACATTATTAGGCCTATCACCTGCCTGCAGAATCCTCTGCTAATCAAGGAAATGCTGTTTTAAATTCTCTTCTTGGCTGTTTTGTTTGAAACCAAATTTATGTTTTACACATCGTGTTAGGCTGAGAATTGCAAGTTTTAGAGCACAGGCCAAACTTGCTGCTCACATGCAAATATATTGGCACAGAGGCCAACAGACAGGATGAGGCAGGGCGGATTAGTAAAGTTTGATAGCTAGGATTTTATCTTCAGTGATTTCTGAGCTGTTSAATTAGCCAAAATCATTTTAAATTTCCACAGCTCTAGCTCCTATCAAGACTACCTGTCTAAAGTATATCCCCATTGCAAATAATGCTAAAAATCATTCGATATATCTTTGTAGGCTTAAATTATAACAGTCTAGGGCTTTCATCCAAGCGTCTGACAACATTTAAATACCATACAAAAAAACCACACTAAGACACTCACTATCCCAGCAAGATTTTTAAAGCCTTACAAAACGTGGATGTTCATTCCAATTAGTAAGAAATAATGAAAATATCTACAAGACAGCATTTTAATAGCCTAAGATGATTTTTTCAGTATGTGCCCAGTAAAGTTTAGAAAGAAAATGCGGAGATTGTCAACTTTCAAGCTGACAGATGAAGTGTCATTCAACCAAAGTCCTATCAAGGAGAAGCTGCGTTCCTTGGTGTGCACCCACGTGCTCCATTCGCATCAAGCTGGCCATTTCTGCAACCAGCCTCTTGGTGGCATTCCAGACGGAGCAGAATGCCCTGTCCCCAAGGCACAAGCCCTCACCCTATAGCATCTGTTAATCTTGGGGTGTTTTATATCAAAAAGACATTTTGAAACAAGTGATTTTTCTCCCTTACTAATAAACACACATGCTTAGTCTCTTGATCAACAAAACAACTTCATAGAAGAATTTCAGCTTGTTTGGAAACACACTGGTTATGCTTCATAGCTGCGTGATTTCTGGTACCTCCTGCTCACTTAGCTCTCCAAGGCAATTAGTAACAGTATTTTTCAGTTCTCACAGGCATTCCCCTGAATGATCACAAACACATTCAGRATTCAAACAACAACAAAATTGACACTGTGCAAAACTAAGTTCAAACTTGTACAGGATGAAATGAAATCCTGCCTTCAATATGAGATTTTCCACCAACTCATCTATGTTTTAAACTGTTCAAAAATATTAATTTTTAACCCTCTACTSAAGTGGAAAAGGTTTTGTTTGCATAACTATTGTCCACTGTTTAGGGTGTAATTTCACCATGACAAAGAAACTTGTGTTGAGGGCTCAATATTCTGCAGGACGCGAAACAGACTTTCACACCAGCTTTGGCAAAAGCAAGYCTTCCAGCTGCAGCTTGCTCCATCCCTTTTTTCCACATAAAAAGACTTTCAGAACTTGTTTATAGAGGTGAACAATTAACAGGGGTGCAGGTTTTCCTGCAATGTGCAGTTTCCCTCACCAAACAATATTATAGTCGCATTACTTGCGGTGAAGGCAATCTGCCCAGAAGAGAAAAAAAGAGGTGTAGGGTTTTCACCATTTTTGCCTGTAAACTACCATTTTGAGGGGATCAGCCCTGGCCACATTAAGTGTGGAGAATGGTTTATCAGAGGCTGCCTTCAACAGCTGGCAGGCCAAGCATCACTGCGTGGCTGCAGTCCCAAGATCCAAGAGCGCAGCAGCACCTGGAAGCTGGACTTTAGCCACTTCATGCTTGGAAAAAAATGCAAATGACAAAGTACATCTATATATAGAGCAAGAACATGTGAGGTGGTGAGGAAAGCCCGAGATCCTGCAGAGAAATGTTCCCGCTACCTGGTCTCAGCTGGCCAAAGAGCCCTAGATTAGGCCTGGATTCAGCTCCGTCTCGCACAAATGGGAACGCATTCCCTTAGAGTGAATACTCTGGAATTAGGTGGTATTTGCACTGCACCCCCAACTCCTGCCAGGTCTGCAGAGCAGCCTTGCAGCTCCCTGCAAGGTGCTGCTAGTGCAGCCCCAGCAGCCACCAGCTCCCAACCAAGGTCTGGATGTGGGGGCTCCGCTCTGCTGCTCCCACAGCCTCCCATCCAGGCTAGAACTCCTTACTGCATCCTGGCAGTCCCAAAGGAGCCATCGCACCTGAAAGGAGCTTGGAAAAAAGATAATGTGTTTTAATAATTCTGTGCCGCCAATGATGTTCAAAGAGCTCACGAGCTTATTTTACAATGCTAAGAAACAGTTAAAACCTTTAACTGCAACAAGGAAAATGAAAATGTCGACACCTCTGTGTCTTGGATGACTTCCAAACTCTTTATTMAATAAGAAACCATGACACGACCACCTGTTTAGCAAAGTCTCTGCAACCCTTTTCTTAACCTTTATATTTCATTTTTCCTCAATTGTTTATATACACAGGAGGGCTCACTCCTAACTGGAGCCTTAGGGCATTCTTGTAATATTAATAAAAAGGTCAAATTGAGAAAGGAGCAACTGTGCATTGAAGCAAATTCCCAGCCAAGCTCCCAGCAACAACTCAGCTGCTACACAGGCTACAACTGCAGCAGAGGTTGCAAAGGAAGTTCTAGGTATTTTGGTCTAATGTTTGAGTCTGGTCATGCTTTAACAAGGAAGAATCTGTGAAGCAGATATCCTAGCACTTCATTACCAGAGTATGTGTGAATTTGTGGGTTAAATCAAAGTGGTTACAGGTGAGATTAAATGGAACAGATCTCTACAACAACCTCCTGGAAGGCTGAACTTGCCCATCACAACTGCTGAAAGGAAAACAGCTTTTAACATCATTGTCCTCCCTCTCTACCTTGCGTTATGCTATCAGACACCGGTCTTGCCTTTTCTAGACAGTTTTATCACTCTACGAATACACTGATGCCTCCAACCTCTTAAACACCAAAGTGCTTTCACTTGAATATGACTTAAATGTCGTCCAGATTCAGCTTGGTTTATCAAGTCTCACATATGCCTCCACAGCATGCAATGAGCACTGCAGAGAGGAGCTGCTGCCCCAGCAGCACCCAGCAGCACCCAGCAGCTGCTGCCCCAGCAGCACCCAGCAGCACCACGCAGGGATCTCATCCTCCGGCCACACCAGCCTGGAGCATCTCAGCAGCCCTGCAATCTACTTCTGGCATCTGTCAGGTGCAATGGGGCTTTTGGAGCTTCTTACAAATGGGAAGCTGGTATGAATTGGCCTAACAGCAAGAACAGCTCAATGTTGCTTTAAGATAGAGCTATGACTTAAACCCCCCAAACTATCTAACACCTCAGAAGAGCTATAAGCAAAGCTGCAGCAGCTTAAATTTCATTTTGRCAAATATAKGGAAAACAAATAGTCTGGCTAATGWTTGTACTGCAGGTAAAATTCCATTTCTGGGGGAGCCAAAAAAAAGCTTGTGTAACAGTATTAAGATGAAGGGTCTCTTACCCTTATTTTGTCTGTGAATTTTTTAGGCCCCTTGGTGAATTAATTCASCAGCAAACATTGCGGTGCCTAAAGGAAGTCCCTCACAATCAGCTCAAGCAGTTGAGGTTCCTCTGCAAAGCACAGGGAATGATGAAGGCCCACAAAATGATAYCCCTAAAAGCCACAAATTGAATGAGGAGCCAAAGCTTGCAGGAGGAAACACTGATGGAATCCAATCTCCAATCCTGTTCCCTTTTGCAATATTCCAGCTACATTTTGCCATGACAGGGCAGACCCTTCTAGATAAGGTTAAAACAGATGACCTGAGGCTTAATTTGCTTAGTTGTCTTCTGCAGACCCTTTAGAAACAGTTCCTGGCTCCTCCCAGGTCTGTACACATGTTACACACCACAGCCTTACTGCAGCCAGCAGGAAAAATGCCTCTTCCCACACAAGATCCAGACCTCAGCCTCAACGTCCGGCTTTGGAACAAGCTATTGCAAAGTGCTAKGGGTGGCAGAACCACCACCCTTTGCTACTCCTGTGACTAGAATTTGGTCCCTCATCTCCCAGAGGGGCAGGATGATCCTGTGCATTGCAACTTACACAGYCCACTGAGAGGGATTCTGCTCAGCTAACAGCTGTGAAAAGGAAGGAGAGCTGGAGTGTGGCCTGCAAGACTTACCCATGCAGTCATCGTGCAGAGGGAAAAACAAACTTTGGCATCTTGGACACCCACGAGCACCTACAAGACTGGCTGCAAAAGAGATGGCAGAAAAGGATGCAGTAATAGGTCTTCGCACTTGTAGCTGGAACTTTTCCGTCAAAACAGCTCAGAAATATCCAATAATGCTTAAATAYATAAGCAAGAAGAAAGAAAAGCTTACTGATGGTCTGGTTGCACTTAAAAACCACACTCAAGTCATTCACAGTTATTCCTGGTCTTGTTTCTTGGTACTTATTAGTGTACCTGAAAGGACAAAGAAACATGGTAGAGAGAAGGTGAATACCACAGCCAAACATCCTGATCCACAGAACCTGCTATACATAATATTCCTTGTGCTTCTTTTGCAGGCTTTACTGAATGAAAAATATTACTGCATTGCAGCTTTATGCAGAACTTGCTTTTAAGTTATAGCTTGTTCCTCATACAGAAAATGGACATTTTAGTGATGCTGTAAAGCCAGAATAGTAACCAAAGTCTCCTTACTTGCTATTCCCAGTGAGAAATCATTGCAAATTCAGAGGAGTGATTTCAATACGCAGTCTGTCACTCTCGACTAGGAGACAGTAACCGCTACCAGTCTCTTAAGGACAGAAGATAATGAGCATCCATCTTCAGCTTTCCCTCCGAGACATGCAGAATCTGACAAAAATACAATGATATCTTTGAAGGCACTATCTCTAGGACAGAAAACCCACAAAGCAAAGATTGGCTGCTATCACACCACCAGTTGTTAAACATCTCTTCTGGCAACACGTGCAAATTAAAGGACTTACTCCTATTTCCCCCACGGTGACTGTGTGCAATAGTTCCATGTCTTCAGAAGTGGGAAAGCCTGAGCCATATCCCATAGCAAGGTGGGACACGGTCCTCCTCTGCGCTCCCTGGGGCTGCAGGTCTATGCTGCAGAAGGGATGGCTGCTGGAAAGAGTGGCTACTGGCCACAAGTGGTAAGTGGTGCTGTAGAAGTTCTTCAGGCTGCCTTCAATTTAATGTGACAAGTGCAGTTCCTGGTCCTCTATAGGGTTGAAGGCTCAGCAGCAGGGCACRTTGCAGGGAATGGTACAGGCAGGGCAGTGGAGAAGAGGGAAAACCACAGCCGTGGGTGCTGGCACTGATGGAACTGGAGCAGCCGGAGTCAGSACTGTGCCCACTACCTGCCAGCACCATCTTACCATGAGGACAGCCCCCAAGTCCCTTCCCACACCCACTGTGACATCCCAGSCTGGTCTCAGAAACATCCCTCTTCACAGGAAGAGGGCAACTCATGCTTAAAGAATGAAAATTCCCAGTGCCAGCAGGGAACACGCTCCAGAGCTCCCCCCACTATTCCCCGAGTCTCACAGCAGCCACAGGACCCCCGGCATCATCTCCCTCCTCAGCAGCATCACTTGGGGCAGCAGCTGCCTGTGCCGTTCTGCACATGCCCCAAATTCAGGCYCTTTGCCCTCAGAGCTTCCAGGAGGGCACGGCCAGCACAGGGTGTCTGGTGTATTTTAGGATTAGTCCAGGGGATGGGGCACCATCAGGTCTTGGTTCTTATTAGTTTTCTACAGGCATTAGGGTTTCCCTCAATCTAAACCAGAGGCTGTGCAGATCAGCTGCAGGACCCCTCAGCTCCACACACTGATATCCTTCAGATCAGTGAAATCTGTTTAAAAGCAGCAAAAAGAACTGTCATCTTCAACGCCTAAATGGGGCAAACGCACACACGGACAGCAGAATTGAACATACCCTCCACGTGCTGTGAAAGGATAAATCCCTTTATTGGCACAAATTACCTAACGGATTGCTTGCATACAGATTAATGCAACAGCATGACTGCTCTGCGGGAATGCAGAGCAGGGAAAGCAGGAGGGGGGAATTTATTTGCTCAGATGCTTCTGATATTTTTCTATCAATCACAGAGGAAGAAGCATTTCATGAGCTTAATTCCCCAAATATTTTTGTAGAGAGCAGAGCCATGAAAATTACCCAAATTAAAGAGGAAGGGAAGCAGGTTTCCATATAGGAAAATACAGAGATTTTTGCCATCTGACTGGTGTCAACACTCAGCGTTGAGCCTGAAGCCAGAGCTAGTCAGGCAGCAGGATTTCCTAACCTGGCTCCCTTGAGCAGTGTGCAACAGTAATGAAAAGAGCATGATGGAGAGAGATGTACTACACRGAGCAAATCATTTATCTTCTGGAAATAGCTTTGGCAAATTCTTTCCATTTCCATTTTTAATTCGACACCAAATATGGTAAATTAGAAAGGCTACAAAACCTTTCTTACAACAGGGAAGATGAAGAAAAAGCTCCTCCAAGTTTTTAATTAACTCTGCATTGAACAGTGACAGCTAATAGTTCATGAGCCCTGTTCCACGCTCCTTACACGGTTCCTTCCTTGCTGGTTGGCTCTGCCATGGGCATCCTGGTGCGACCAGCACCCCTACAGCCTAGGGAGGGTCCTTCCACCCTAACCCTGACCCTTCACACAGGAATCCTGCTCCTCAGGTGCGGTCGGCTGTGACCTGCTTGGGCACAGGTGGCCATCGGATCTACAAGAGTCAGGTCCTAACCCCAGCAAGGCACCTACATGGACAATGAGTGCCACCACTGAAGAAGATCCAGCTGCTCCCAGTCCAGGGAAATGGAGGGATTCCTTCTCCTCCAAGCTGTTGCCAGGAAGGGCACCTGTCTAGTTAGGGAGCTATTGCTTTGGAGCTCAGAAGGTGCCATTTGGGGGTTCCAGGCTTGGCCTGCCCAAGGTCAATGTTTGGCAATGGGACACATCAGCTTGGAACTCCCTGACATTYGGTCTATGCATTTGAGATCTGTACACAGAAATTAAATTGTCACTGAAAAAACAGGCACAAACGGTGGTAAGCTAAGACTGCAGCGCTTCCTCCTCACGTTTTCCCTTTTTAATTTTCCTGAGCTCTGCAATCCCTGAAATCTTTTACTAATGGAATTACTTGAGCAAGTTTCTCAGGAGACAACAGGCATCACAATCTCATTTGGTGTAAGGGAATTCTTTTAAGCCAAATTGACTCTCCTGCATTAAGAGAAATCCACTGCTAAATACTCTTACCCAAAGAAAAATCCAATAAAAAAAGTGATATATTTACCAATGAACTAGAGGGCAAAAATGATTGAAGTGATCTGTTCCCAAATATATTCTAATGTTGGGAAAGCAGAGTCTTTGCTTTCATTTTTGACGATTTTGTTGTTGTTTCTTCCTCTTCCAATCCACAGTTCCTTCAGGGAGGGGTTCAGTCTGTGATGGGAAAAAATGAATGCTGCTCTGGGAGTGCTGAACTATAAACTATATTTAAATATATAAAAATCATACTGGATATTCATCAGATCTTGTGAGGATGACTTCTAAAGCACTTGACTGCCCATCTCATTTTGAATGAAAACTGAAGCAGCGAATGAGTACAATACAAAAATCAGTGATAATCAAAAAATTCCAGCCATCATCTTATTAATTTGCTAATTAACATGGCACCACAGACTTTTTTTTGTATTTTTGATACAGACATGGTTTGAGCCACAAAAGTGGCTCTACTTAAAGAAAATATTATCTATGGGAAGTAGCACTGCCAAATACAAAGAAGATTCTTCCCAAGTAACTTCAGAAGAGTTGGGTTCAGCCAACAGGGCACTATTTGAGTGATTTTTCTTTTAAATTATTTAAAGAAAAAATAAACCAACATCATAAAATGATTACTTGGGCACAGTTCAAGCAAACAAATTTAATTCTGGGCTTAAAGGTAAAATTGGGTGGAAAACCTGAAAGGGAAAGTATTTTACACAATAATTGCAAGTAAAAGCTACACATGTAACATCAATGCAACCTGCACTGATCTGCAGGAAAAAAGTCAGGGCCACTTATGGGAGGATCCAACTGCCCACTGATCCCTCCCACTGAAACACTTGGGGGAATTGGTACTAAATGAGAACATGAGAAGAGGCTGAAGCAACAATGGCAGAAAACAGAGGAAAAAGAGGAAGAATGAAGAGCAAAAGCCCCTTCCTGACTTAGCATCAGATCACAGCCCTATGTCCAAACACCATTCAGCATGGAAAACAAACTGCATCTTGAAACCTAACCTAGCTCTCCAAGGGGTCTGTTAACCCACAGGGATGCCCACCCCTGGGAAGGACAGCTGCTCCCAGGGGTAAAGGAGAAGCAGATCAGTAAGGGCRCGTGCTGCCAGGCAGCTTGTTCAGACCCCAAGCAGCCCTGGCTAAGGGCTTTGAGTGTTGAGGATGAATACATGGAACRGCACCTTCCCCATTCACAGCTCTTGGGAGCAAAGAGGGGGGAAAAAAAGAGCAAGTTCAACCACAGCATCCCAACATCTCCACATCCTGCTTAGCCAGGTACCAGGCTGCCCTTTCCTGGCTCAAACCTAGCCTAATGATCAAAAAGGCTAGTTTAAAGCAAACGCAATGAGACAAGGATAAAACAGACTTCGGCAGTAGTATGGACCCTAACGGAGAAAARCTAGCCACAAATCCACACCAAGTGCTGTTCAGCACAGTGCCAGGCTCACTGCAGGTTTTGCTTTAGTGTGTGGCCAGTTTAGGTTGCAGGYGAGGCTGACTTGGATTTGCAGCAGATAGCACCAGCTTGTACAGACTGGTACATTTCCAAATCTCAAGAGTAGAAGATTCYCCAAGCACTACTTTAACTTTGTACAATGAAGAAAGCACATACAGGTGTTTACCCAACCTAAAAGTGATCACTAAAACAGCAAACATGAGGCTGAAACAAAAACCAAGCCCAGCAGATTCCACTGAAGCACACCAGGCTTAACAGTGTCTGCCACAGAGCACTAACAGGAGTGAAGCAGGGGACCAGCAAAACAAGAACATCCCTAGAGTCCTCCTATATCCATTACTTGCTGGATTCTCCTATTTGAGCTGCTTTATTTCATTTGAACAACGGATTCATGAATTCATTTGCTTTTCTGTGCACAAGGCTCTGGCCAGAGCGCTGTGCGGGAGCCGAGGGGAGATGGCAGCAGGGAACACGGCAGCACGGCTGTATCAGCAAGAGCCACACGTTGTTCCTGCCAGACCCAGCCGGTTCGGGGCCTTCCAACATCACAGGCGCCTTATCTGCATTCTCAGAGAAAACAAAAMAATGCGCTAGCCTCGGCCAACAGTTTCACCATGGAACTTTAATAAAAGCTCACAGAAAACCTTAATTCCTGCTATTTTGATAGACACCACAATGTTATCAGTGGAGAACCGCCCTCCAGGGACACTCAGCCAGCAGACACACTCGTGCTGCTGTGGTAGTGCCCCAAGACAAGTGTGCAGATAGCACAGCCTCATCCGTCCTTATCCACCGCGGGAATGTCACCGTTGTCACCATACAAGAGCCCAGAGACCTTGTAACAGCACATGAACCACAGCAGTTTGAGGAAAGTCTCTTTGAAATAACGTTGAAGTAGACAGAGTTAACCAGCCAGAAGGAGAGAAAATTAAGAAAAAAAACAAAACAAATTTGAAATGGTTCAAGTAACAAGTTACAAGTTACAGGAGGGCAGGGGTTTGGGAATGGGGTGAAAATGCCAGAGATATTTAGCTTTGTCTCCCAAGTCAAACATTTCACGAAATGGTTTAAAGATGCACTCCTTCAGCTTCTGCACAGCCAAAATGAGGGGAAGGGAGATGATTTATGTAGATACTTATATTAATATCTGCCTTTTCAGCCACACTTCACATCAGATGTGGCTGCACAGGATCCCAGTGACACCCAAGAGCTGGAAAGTGAACTTGGCTACAAAGCCTGAGAGCAAGAGGCTGGCTCAGCCCCATCGCACCCGGGAGGAACGGCCACGAGGGAAAGGACTAAAAAGTGATGAGAAGTAAATTATCATTTAATGTAGATTTTCTTCCACTATATTGCTGTTTCTAAAGTCTACTTTGACAACTGTAATATAAAATTGACTTTTAGGATTTGTCTAGACTCTGCAAAATTTCTAACTTTACAACCAGTTCTGCTTAAATGATTTCAGAAGGGGTTAGAGTCATCATAGAGATTTCAGTTGCTTTAAAACAAACAGACAAGTTTAGTTCATTAAATTCCAAGTAACTTTGAAAAGTAGATTAAAGCTAATAGTGTTCAGGTTGTCCATAGCCCTGTAAATAGATTTGTATGAACTTAGATGGCAGCTCTGACCCATGTAGAAGATTCGTGGGWGTCAGGGGAAAACCATGTAGGTCAGATGTCAAATAGGCTGGTGATTTCCAGCCTATTTGACATGCACTGGCACCACATTTCCAAAACACATAGCAAGAAAGTGAACAGAAAGCAGCTCCCATTTCACGCTATTGAAAAGATAAACACATCAGAGATTACTAAGAGGTTATTCCTACTGCAGGAAGGCAGACAACAGCATCTGACCACAYGGACTACTTCTGTCATGCAAGAGGCTGGTTAACACTATACCAATCATTCAGAAATAACCAATTTTTGCCATCCTGTGAGATTTAAAATTTTTCAGCTTGAACTTGCTTATTTTCAAATAACCTGCATCACCAAGCTCCCTGTCTTAGTCTGCCTTTCCTGACTATTGTCAGTTTATTTAATGTGAAGAGTGGTGKGGAACACAACTCCACTAACTAATACATTATACAGCTAATGCATAACTTCTGATAAATATCCCTAAATATTTATGAATATGTTAAATCTGTCTCWCAAAGCCCAAGACATCAGTGTTTGCATAAACACTTTTCTGAGGTGYGATTACCAGTTTGCTTGCAACACAGCATGTTGATGCATTTTGCTAAATCCGAGGCTTGGGAGCCGTGTTCCAGGAGCCCACATGTCGTTACTGTTCAGGCAGCCCCAGTTTCMGCACACATCTCTAGTGCTATACACAAACACACAGTCCAAAACAGTTTCCTCTGTTTTTCCAATTAGGAAATATCTAAGTCCATCAGGGCTGATTGCTAAGTAGCCAGATTCTGCACAAGATGTAGATATAACTGTGCAAGAAGGACGGGACAAGGCCCAAAGGCAGGAGGTTCACCTCCTCCCAAACCTCCCTCAGACAAGCTGCTTTTCTCCTTCAAGGGTCTCCCCAACATCTGAGACCTCTTACAGCTCACGCTGACCAGAGTCCTGCACTGCTCATTAACCTTTCCTCCATCTCTGCAAGTTCCTGCATGTTCCATCCCAGCACCAGGCATAGTTTATTCCTACACACGGACACAGGTGTTAGCAGGCTGACAATTTTCTTACYGTTTCATTCTGTTCAGATAAAATGTCTTTCTTATGAGTTCATTTGTCAAGCCACATACAAATGTAAAGACTGCAGAGCTTCTGACATCTTCCCCAGAAACTTAAATTTCTCCTTTTGACCCCATCATAGACATGAAAGTTTGCCATGCTTCAACACCATTAGTAGCTATCTCTGCTGCATAACCCAGGGGACAAATACTAGTAAGTGATCTGTGGAGAGACCAAACTTTTTATAAAGCCAGGAATGTGACTGAAACTCAGCTTGTTAACTCTTTGTAAGCCCAGTAAGCAACTTAAGCCTGTGTCTGTAGTCTCTGCCTATGCCTTAATCAAGCCAAGAACTGCCCAGTTTARGATGCTTGCTCAAATCTAGACATGGAAGATACTCCAAGTCCCCTGTATTTATAATTAGCAAGGTTGAATGAGAAAACTGGCTAGCCTTGGTTAAACTGAAAGGCAACACCAAGATACCAACACAAAATATAGGAACAACCTGCCATGACACAGCACTGCAGAGCCAGAGAAAGGTTCCATAAAGCCAAAATCCCACCGGGTGCCCATATGGGCCAAGGYAGGGGCTGGTAGCTGCTCCAGGACTGCAAGCTGGCCCAAGCAAGAGCCTTGCCAAAGCAAGCTGAGTGTTTCATCCAAAATAAGAGCTCCTAGACAGACCTATTTATGTTAGGAGATAAGAAAGGAGCCAGGGCTGGCAGGCCCCAGGCGCTGAGTTCCCAACCACCACCATTCACGCTTGGCTCTGCTTAGGGAATGGGAGCTGAACACACTCAGCTCTCCACATTAACCCATTAACTTGCAGGAGAGCAGCTAAGGTCACGACTACCTGCATGTCAGCCTGCTCTGTCCCACCACAGCCCCTCCAGCTGCCAGGCTGCACCAGGGAGGACTACAGAGCAGCCCTCAGCACTGTGAAGTGCTCTCATATGAGACAGGACAGCCCTGAGGGCAGTTACCAAGYTGGCATTTGCTCCTGCTTCATCTCCTGTGAGATGAAG